TTTTATAATAATTTGTTACTCATGTATTTTATTTTTAAATATTAAATGTTTACATGTATTCGATTATAAGTATCAAAATGGGACATATTTCATAGATTTCGTATTTAAAACAATAACAAAGACAAATAATTTAATTTAATTATAGGTAATAAATAACTACTTTAGAAATATAAATAATTAGATCTTGTAATAAACAATATTTTTTTGATTCATCCTTAGTAATTTTGTCATTATATTCTTCTATTAACTTTACACCTCTTTCAACGATATCGTTAATAACAGGAATTTTTTTTAAATACCTATTGATTTTTGAACATTTTTATTACTCTTTCAAATTGACGGGTCAGTTTAAGAAAATCTGTGTTTATGGCAAATCGCTTGAATAGATTATTAGTTTTTACATATATAAAATCTTCAATTTCTTTTTCTAATAGCTTGTTATCATTTTTTGGAGATATTTTATATTTTGTGTAGTTGATTACAATTTTGATGCACTTTTTCATTTTTAAGAGTTTTTACCATTTTTTTGGTCGTATTGATCGAAACAGCTTCATCAAAAAAAGCAAAAGCACATATTCTGCCAACAAATACCACAGGTAACCACATAACTTTTTAACCGCAATCTGAGATGTGTCTTTATTTATTGTAGTTTAATTTAAAAGATTCTTGATAAAAGTTAAGTCTTGTGCAGGTACTTTGATAGCAAAGGGAGCGTCAAACCATATTTTAAATTTTAATGTATAGTCGAATAATAAAAATACAAATATATTTCTTAATACAGTTTCCTCTTTCACTGTTAATCAAAATTGCTCACAAAATAAGTATATTTTTAGGCTGTAAATAACTTTAGCCATCCAACGGGCATGATGAATGGCACCTGGTTTCAAAAAAAATACCATTAAGAAGTATGCCACCTAGAAAAATGACCGTCAATTCTAAAAGCTCTCGGTAATCATCCCTTGGGTAATTTTCTTTTAGTCGATCTATAGAAAATTTGATAATATCATTACATACGTCATTTACAGAACCTATTACAATAGAATTTTCTATCCCAGGATTAAACTTTTTAGTATCCATTGTTAACCAGGCTGCTAGTTGAAATCTTTTAAAAATAGACTCGATGTTCCAAAATTGTTGTAATAATAAAAATGTAAAATAATTAACATCTATACATTTTTTGGTGAAATTATATTTTGTAATTTCAAGATTTTTGATAATTATATTAAAAAAACTAACAATATCAAATATTTTTCTATTATTGAAACTTAAGAGCTTTTGTGGCATGCGTTAAAGTTTATCATTTTGTCTGAAAAATTTTAATACGCCTTTTTTTTTTAGAATTGGAATTTATTTCAGGGGAGTAATTTGAAAATTTTACAATACTTTTTTTCTTTATCTATACCAAAATACCACCCTAACGTACTTGTACATTATTACTTTCCTATAAAAACAACAATGATTTTTTATTATAAAATAAATAATTACCTGAGATGTATTTGTTCTTATACTGTATACTTCCTATAAGTATTTAATTTAATTTTGAACCTCAATGTAATACTAATATAATTATTTTTTCAAATATTAATATCTTAGGGCTACAATATCTATTCTAAGACTACAGCTTAAGTTTAATTTTTTCTTTAAAATTGAATTTAATAAAAGTGACATATTATTTTGTAAAAAATCAAAAAATACATATTTTCAAAGAAAATGATTATTGCATCTATATTAATATCTTTGATAGTCGATGATGACGTTACCAAGATTATTTATTTATTTATTTATTTATTTATTATTTATTTACGGGCAGTGAGCCCAATATATTGTACAAAAATATATAAATTCTACCTAAGTGGGTGTTACAGTTACCCAGCTTTACAAGCAGAGATTATAGAGAAGTAGTTTTAATAATACAAAACACATGATATAATATTTACTGACACATATAGGTACATTTAAATTTTTAGGTTAGTATTAAGATTTGCAATTTGTATTAATATCTAATAAATAAGTGAGGGTGCTCATTGCCAAGGCGCATCATCCTATCAATTGGTTGGTTTCTGCCGTAATTAGTATTGTGTGGGGTAATAGCGAAGGGGGTGGAAGATCTAGTTAGACGGGAAGGAACTTTAAAACCAACTTGTGCGAGTAGGGAAGGAGCATCAATAGATCCATCAATTAATTTATGTAGGAAGAGTAAGTTAGCCTCAACTCTTCTATCAGCTAAGGATACAAGACCGAGTTTGTGCATAACTGGTTGGTAGTCGTGAGGTGGATGATTAATTTTAAGAATAAACAATATTATATTATGTTATAATATTATATTAACTTATTCATATAAATTTATTAAATATCGTATTAGAATTTAAGACTAATAATCGTCTGTTTGCGCATAGATAATTGAACTTATTTTACTTCACAAAATAAAATAATTTGTTTAATCCATATTAAATTATTCTTTTTTATTTAAAAAATATATATGTGAAGTTTTTATTGTATTCCCCGTCATCATTGTCAAAAAAAGAAAATAAGTAAATATTGAACTGTATTTGCTATTTATTATTATTTTGTAAAACAGCCTGTTTAAAATTATGAGTAATAAACAATTCATATCAGAATCGTTCATAATAAACATATTTTGGACCCCTTTCAAAATTAGTTTAAATTAAATATCCTGTGTAGACAGGTAGACTGTATTATTCTACAAATCAATACATATAATTAGGTTTTACTTTTGAATTTAGCTAAGAATGTGTGTCATACAGAATGGCATTGTAAACGCTAAGGGGAATCTTCATATACATTATTTAATGTCAATAGAACATGTTTTTATTTTTTTTATTTTATGGCATTAAATATCTAAGAATTATTTAAGAAATAAAACATTTACTTGTATTTGTTTATTCTTAAAGTTAAATAAATAAATAAAAAAATCAAACATTTTAAACTGTGAATTTTATTTATTTTTTTTTTAATTATTAAAATGTATAAAATACGGCAGTTATAACCGAATTTAAATACAATAACTATATTTTTATAATTCAAATAAATGTATATTCATTATAAAAAACGATTTTTGACTTGGCTTGCCGGACTTAAGTTCAATAAAAAAAAAAAAAAACGATATTTTTTATTTATAATTCTTAATTTACTTTTATACCAATTCAAAACTATTTAGTAGTTGTTGTAAAGTAGTTTTTTGTGACTAAAAAAAAAATATCTACCAATTAAGCTATAAAAATTAATATCATTATAAAATTATACTATTAATTTTGCAGGTAATAAAATAAAACAAACAATTTTATCAAATAGATTTGAAATTATTTGTATTATTTGTATATTATTATCTGTAAATTTAACATAGTAAAACTTAACTCTTTATGAAAATAATAGTTACATAATTAATTTGTAATCATGTAAGTACTAAGTATGTTAACTTTTGTTTTATTTCAACTTAAAATTGTATGTTAATCAGTGATTTTTTTTTTAATAATGTTTTAGAACTTTGATAGCATTTAAAAAGTTTATTGTCTACTATATTACAAATATTATTTTCACGGAAATTCATAGTTAAATGCTAATAAAATTAATGTTTACGATCTCCTACTAATATTTCGATGAATTAAAATTAATTGTTAATCTTGGTCATCAAATAGCTGTCAACAATTAGCAAATGCTATTAAAATGATTACAACAATAAACTAAATTATCAAATTATTTCAATTAAAAAAAAAAAGTACAAAGCCGTAGTCAAGAGAGAAAGAGCTCAGGCCCCCTTTAGATATTTTCTCTTAAAACAAATTTAAATGATTTTTTAATGTCTAATACACTTGGAATTTGTACATGTGCAAAATGTTACAATATTCAAGTAAATAAAAAGTTGTATCTATTGTATTAGGTAAACAATATCTGCATTTGATGTACTTTCCTAATATTTAGTTTTAGTGACCTATGACATTTTTTTTACAAAAACTAAATAGGCGATTTAATAGCAATAATAATAGTATTAATAAAAAGCCTGCAAAATATTATTTCTAAATTTAGTGTCTAAAAATACCTTGTATTGATTTTTATAATTCTAATTCAAATTCACTAGCTACTGAAGCAGCATTTTTACTATGGCAGATAAAAAAGATCAAGATTTTGAAAAAAAGAAAAGTTATCAAATGGTTTTATACGTTTTCTCAGAGCAGTTCAAATTTTTTTCCGTCAATTTTTTTATTTATTCAAGAAACTCAGCTAGTATCAACATTGACGTCTAAATAGACGTTTTCAATTTTAAAGAGACTCAAAACGTTTTTAAGAAACAAAAACTGACAATAAAGATTAGTATTACTATCATTTTTTAATGCGTAATGTACATAGAGATATTGAAATTTATACTGAAGAAGTTATCTGAAAATTTAAAAAAAATTAAAATTAGTATAAGACATTATTTGTTTTTAAACTTTTTTACTGTACATATATTTTTTTGGCTTTTATACTCATGTAAAATAAAATATAATTTGAGTAAAAATGTAAAATAAAGTAGTTACTGAAATTTAAAAAATTATTATTTTCATGATTTAAGTGATGATTTTTTAATTTTATATTTTATTGAACTTATTTAAATTTTAAAATTCGTTAATCAAAAAACATGTTTTTACTCTATCCCCTAAAAAAATGTTTGACAGGCCATTGCATTTTTTAAATTATCTCATGATGATGAATATCACCAATTTAAATAATATTAATTGATCTATTTTTTAAATTTTCAGGATTGTAATGCACTAATGCATATATAATTAAAATTAATTTTATAATAAAAGTCATACTGCAAATGTTATCATGTGTTTTCTTTTTTTAATGTATAAATGGATTTTCTTATGCTTAAATAAAATAATAAGAAAATAAACTAAAAAAATATCTTAATTATAATTAGATAATATCTAAACGTATGAGATCAGATGAAATTGTTGAACCACTATTTTTAACTAAATGTAACTAAAATAAAGCGCTGTAAAACCATTACAATAATACATTCTTCTTTTTGCTCAAAACCTATAAAACTAAAATTAAACGTAGTTATATCTATTCATCAGTATCACTAACAAATGATGTACTGCTCATGTCATCATCATCTGAACTTGAATTGTTGTCTTTTTGCGAGTAATTATCATTAGAATTAATTAATTCTTCATCGTCAATTTGCAGGTTTGTTACCGATTGATTTTCCACGGTCGAATTTATTCCGCAAACGTTGGACAAAGAAAAAGGATTGTCAGCCACATTAGGTTCAACCAGCTGCTCAACAATACTTTCGTCGCATTCGACAGATAAATCTTTTTTCTAAAAAAAAATAATATTATGTATATATTAATAAAATAAAATATATTTAATGGATTGTATAAAAATAGTATGACCTTCATCAGTTTAGCTATTCCAGAATTCAAATGTGACGAAACACCAATTGAGTTAGACGATTCCATTTTATCATTTACCAACATGTTCGGCTTATTGATCACGTCTTCGTGTATTTGCCTCATTAGATTTTTTTGAAGGTCTTTGGTATGATCGCTAATCTCGGACTCGTCGTGAACCAATTCAGGTTTTGCCGTTTTTCCGTGGATTCCCAATGATGGCTTTCGATCAACAACGTCAGCTAATAATGAGTTCTTAGACATTACCTTAGACCTAATTAGGTGTAGCATAAAGTTCACGTAAAATACGTTGATAAAATAAAAACCAGTGTTTTAAAAATTACCAGACCTGAGTTGGGATGCAATGCTACGTTGGTTTACTCCAAATATGTAACTCCGTCTGCCGCCATAACTTTGGTATTTTAATTTTTCAATTTTTGATATTAGTTGATCGTTTATATCCTTTAAACGGTTTAATTCTATCTGAAGAGCTTTACTTTTGCTTACCTCTATATTTATTTGATTTCTGTGGTTCTTATTTAGAAGTTCAAGTTTGTTTATTAAATTCTAATATGACAATTAAATAAAACAAATTCTATAGTAAAATTTCTATTTTTTTTTTTTTAAGCTAAATTGTTTGATGTCTATGTACCTGATGCTTGGTCTCCTGCTGTTTAATTATGTTCTCTGCTTCTTCGAGCTGATTCGACAATTTCTCCCTTTCACCAAGTTGTTTGTTCTTGGTCAAATCTAACAAGTGTTTATGTTGTTTTTGAACGTTTAATAACTCAGTACTTAACAAGTGATTTCTGTTCTCCAATTCTCTGTATGAGTTTTTCGTATACTTCAATCGAGTCTGAAGCGAACGAATATCTTCACTGTACGATTTAATCACCTGCGGCAATTGAGCATGTGTGCCCTCGTATTTAGATAGTGCGTTCTCTTGCCGTCTCTCCATCATTTTTAAAATTCGATTTTCACTTACTAAACCCTTTATTTAAATTTGTATTTATCTATAAAAACTTTATTTGTAAGTTAATCATTAATCTTTTGAACTTACGTCTATTTTTTCCTGGGCCTCAGTCAATTTATTCTGTAGTTTATTAATGCGTAACATATTTTAACTGTTTTACACTAATTATCCTAATCATTGACAAAAGAAAAAATATTAAATTATGTTGACTAGTGGAAAATAAACATTTGTAGCATATAACCATACTACATCGTACTTTGTATATTGTTGTTTCCGTTGCTACGGACGTACAAAATCAATGGAAATGCGCTGAAAACTGTTATGTGGAAACCATTTTTACTTAAATAAATATAGTTAATGTTTGGTAATTTAAGTTTCCAAGCATATATTTTTGTTATATCTAGTTTATATTTTTGACCATTCAACAGAATAAAAGCAAACACTTAATGGACATAAATTAAATTGGTATTACCAAGTTATGGTTTAGGTTATAATAAGTATTGAAAAAAACCATATCAATATTTTTATATATTTTTTTTTTTTTAAATATCAGTATTTAATAAAATATATTTGAATGTGTTATCTTTAATTTATAAAAATTGAATATTAAAAGCTTAGACTAGCATGTTAAACATAGATAGATATTATCTTAATTAGGAAAAGGATTACATACTAATATTTACGAAGGTAATATAAAAATATATTAAAAATAAACATTTATTTTAAAATTTACTTTTAGTTAACAGAAAATAAACAAATGTGCATATATATACAATATAATCTGGTGTTTATGCTATTATTAATAACTAGCGGGTTACCCGTTGCGGCTTTTCCTGCAAAATTTAAATAGGTATAAAATAAAAAATAACAATTTATGGCAACAATTTTATTAAAAAATATTAATTTAATAATAATATATAATAATTAATAATAGTTTATTATTTTTATTTTTATTTTATAACTATTCACTTCCAGTTAATGTATTTTAATTTTATGCCAAAATTACTAAACTTGTAGGTGTACTGACTCTAGAACATGCCACATAACATTGTCCATGTGAAAAACAGTCTAAAAATGTGAGCTAGAGGTTCTCGGCTTATAAAAGCTTTTATTCGTTAATGTATATAGCTATAAAATTTATATGTAAAATTTTGTTTTTTATTGATTTCAATACCTTAAAATCAAAATTTTGAAAAATTCTTCCTCAGTCCTCGGTGAAATTATAATATTAATCTACCTCCAAAATGTATTATGAATCAGTTACTCAGGACAATCTCGTTTGTTTGTATAGATTTTATTTATCCACATACTTAATAATAGAGTATTACAATTTATTATCAAAAGAAAACAAAGAGTTTTTCTACGATTCTAAACTGTATATATCGTCACTTTGATTTAGACTACAATCAAAAAATATTTGAATGCTTCTAAATATTTAAATATTGTAGAATGAAATATTATACAAATATTAAACTTTATGTTAATTTTCATTATTCTGTCAACATTTGAATTTCATAGTTTATAAAAAAAAAACCACGCGTATATATTTGGGATATTTTAAAACTGTATTATGAGAATAATATAAACAATCATTTTTTTTTTTTAATTTTCGAGGTTTTTGACTAATCATAAAAATTTTAATCAACGTTTATAGAAAATAAAAAATAAAAAGATACACATTACAACTTCTAAATTTTAAAATTAGTTGAAATATTATTAAAAATACTTTCGTTATAATAAAATGAATCAAGTCTGTCTATAAAATATTGATTTATTTATATAACGAACATTGTTTGATAAAAATTTTTTTGTTTTATAACTGAACATCTAATGTAATCAAAATATAAACTTCAATAATCTATAAACAATTGATGTGTATTTACGCTAAAATTATTTTTTTGTTTTCATCCAATAAACTTTATGAGGATTTTTCTATTACACGCTTAAATATCATATGAAAATTTAAAAAAAAAATGTGTGTATGAATTTTTACCAACGAGTAATTTGCAAATCATCATGATTTCAATACGCTACAATTTAAACTTCAAACGATTATAAAAAATTTTAAGTGAATATTCATTTATATGTTTATAATTAAAATATGAACGACTTTATATGAATCATGAGATATCTTATATTTTATTTTACTCAAAATATTTAATATAATATGTTTTTTTCCAAATATGTTTTTGAATTCATACATAAATTAAAAATCCGATTCGGTAAATGTATTCAGCATCATCTTATTTTATGTTCTGAGTGCAAATATATAAATTAATTTTATAATGAAGTGTGTTTTTATTTAAAGCCACTTTTTCTAATAGAAAAAATGCTTTGATAATAAATTCGAGAAAGGTTTCTGATAGGAAATTGAAATTAGTTTGTACTGTGATGAATCAAACTTAAAAATATCTTCTCTTATCATAATTTTTTTAAATAATCGTGATCCCTAAAAAAGGGGGAAAAGTTAATTTCTCTGTTTTATAGTGGTTATAGTTAATTGTATATCGTTGTTAAGTAAGGATTGGACTTATAATATTAAAAAAAAAAAAAGTTTACAATAAAAAATAATCATAATTTTAATGAAAATATTACTATGCAACAAATGTTCGTATTTTTCTTAATTCTCATTATTTTAAAAATTATTGATAATTTTTAAGTTTTAATCTCCTATAAGTACCATCTAAGTTCAATTTTCTACTAGAAACTTTCATCGAAGTAAATAAATAGAGCATTTAAAAAAAAAAAAACTATTTTCGGGAAATTAATTAAAAAAAAAAAAAAAAAAAAAGCAAAAAAAAAAAAAAAAACTATTTTCGGGAAATTAATTAAAAAAAAAAAAAGAAAAAAATTATCATTGTAAAATTAACACTTATATTAAAACCCAAAATATGAAAAGTTGTTAAGATTGTTAACTCAGTTATTAAAATAATTGTTTGATATTCAATTTTACCAAAAAATTAGACCATCTATGCTCTGAATTGTCTAATATCTCGTAGATAATAATTTTTCTTTTAATTCAAATTTAATTAGTGATAAACAATGTAAGATCAAGATTATGAAAGTTCTCACTTTGTTACACATATCTATATTGGTCTGAGTTTTGTTCTTATAAACTTAATTTTAGTCTAGTCTTGCTAAAAATTTTACACTGTCTTCTTTTATAAGCAAAATATAACTTAACACTTATTTTGTTTTTAGAATTTTGTAGAACAGTTTTATGATATCTAACACACAACTTAACAAGTTCAATACATATTTATATTTATTATATTACTATAATTATTTTGTTTATTTATTGTAATTATTGTGCAGTTTCTGAATTTATTTTCAACCATTTTTATTAAAGTTATTTATGTATAGGGTCTTATAAACTGGAAGAGTAGCTTATTATTCAATCTTTATAATTAATTTATAAATTATCCCGTAAATTCATATATTTTTAGCTTAATAAAATTAAATATTTTTATTTGTTTAAAAAGTTGTCTTTGTTTATTTATTACTACTAGAGTTAATAATAATTTAAAATATATATTTTTTCATAAATATATTGAAAAAAAAGAATCTTAAAATTAAAAACCTACAATCAATATTATTATGGCTTACAACCATCATTGCTTTCTTAATTTTAAACATATTTTTTATATAAATACGTATAAATAAATACCAATCTTGGATTGACTTCGGTTTTGAGTATTCATTAAACCAGTCTTAATTTATTTGTGTTAACATCAAAAATATAGGTATCTATAATTAAGAGGTAGAAAATAATGAAATTATTAATTGTTATTGAAGTGTATATATTTTATACCTTAACCAAAACAATACGGAATATTATAGAGAAAATGTAACTCTTGTGAAGACGTGAAGTTGAGTAATACCGCTATTCTATATATTATCGAATATTTAAATACTAAGAAACGTATGAACTTGAAATTTGGAATTGTAACTTAAGAATTTAAATAAAAAGGATGTTTAAAAATTAAAATTTTAAAGATAGCTCACATAAAAATTATGTTTTAGAAAATTAAAATTTATTATTTGTTTGTATTTATTGTAGTTTTCATTGGTTACAGAAAATAAAATTATTATATGGTTATTAGCTTTGTAAAATTATCTTTTTGTAATTGATAAATGATCATATTATATTTTTTTCTTTTATTTTTCTTACGAAACACAAATATTTAAAAGTATTCAAATTGTATTGATGCTGTAATTTATAAATATAAACATTAATTATAAAATTGTTTGAAACATAAATTTGGCTGTCTGTTGTGTGTCTATTTTAAATTTTTATCCGAAACGCTGCGCAAGATCAGATAATAAAATAGGTTAGTTTAATAAAATATAAGATATATTTATAACTAAAATATATACCAATCCCATGATTACATTTTTAAATTTAATTTAAATAATTTTAATTTTTCGATATTTTATCATTTTTTTTTTTCTTATGTTAAGCAAACAAGTTAAACAATGCTTAAATAAATATTATTTTATCACGGAAATTAAAATATACACAATAAGTACACATAATATGTACCTTTTAAGACAGACTACATCAATATAACATTAATTAACTCCCACAAACAACACAAGAAATTTAAATCTATCATCAACTGATACTCAACATAATGACTTTTTGTTATTAGAAAAACATTCAAAGTATACATGTATTAAAGAACATAAATAATCGTATCAGTGAATTTTAAAGTAATAGTCCGCTTTTAAAAATAAAATTATTATTTTTTGCAGATGTATTTATCTTAGAGGACTTTAAATTACAAATGCTAGTGTCATATAGCTATTGGTTTTGTTCTTGGGCTTACAGTAAAACCCTACTACTTGATAAAAACCAATTTTCTGCGTCACTAAATTTAACACTTCTATTACAGTGACCTACTTAATGACGGTATATATTCGACATATACTGTACAGTAATTTCGATTACTTACTTTTGTATATTTATTTTTATAGCATTAAACAAATTAAATGTTTTAAACTACAGTTATTATGAAAAAAAGGTGTAAAAGTTTTGTAACATACATAACGCAGTTAAACTTTATAAATTATAATCTTAACTATAATTTTAAAAAAAAAACCAAAACCATTAAATATTACAACTATTTATATAACTACATAAAATAATAAATTACATTTGCGAACTTCATATACATATACATTATACAATATAATACAATA